GTTCAGCTTCATCAAGGCGGACTTGCATCTCCTGAAAGTGCGACATTTACTTGAACAAAATCGTCCCTGATGTAGACCTTGATCTGCTGTTCTAGGCCTTTGCGCATGCGTTCAACATGAACGCTGTGCTCCTGCTCTTGACGAAGTTCCTCCGCAAGACGAGCAGCATCGGCCATTGCGTTTTTGCTCTGTTCGTCCAGCTTTTTCATTTCGTTCAACGAATCGTCTAATTCAGACTAGAAAACAGGAAGGGGGTATTTAGGGCGGATGGCCGAAGGTCAGGAAACAACCAAACTTACATGCAACGCTTGTAGCTCGCTCTCCATCTTTCTTTTGATGGCACTTAGTGACGCGTTCTGTGACGACAGATCGTTCACCTGTTCGCGTTGTTCGATTAGTTCCGCTTCAGCCTGTCGTCGGCCACGTTCCGCCTTAGTATGCAATTACTTAGTAAAATCTGACAATCTGGGTCTGGTGTGTACCTGTTCAGCGGCGCTCATTAGTTCCTCCTTTTCTCCTTGCAACATCGCACAGCGTTTTTCAGAAACTTGTAACTGTTCTCTGAGTTCGTCCCTCTGTCGTTGCTCATCTTCAATCTGCACCTGCAGTTCCTTCACCTGTTCCTGGTAGAGCTTGATGTTCTTCTGCGCGTCAGCGTTCGCCCTGTTCGCGTGATCAAGTGCAATTTCTAACTCGTTTATGTCTGACTCGAGTTTCTTCTTCAGACGCAGAGCTTCGGCTCGTCCCTTCGCTTCTGACTCTAACGTTGCTTGCATGGAATCCAACGCTCTTTGGTGATTTTTGCGTGTATTTTCGAACTCCTCTTCCTTTTCGCGTATTCGCTTCTCAATTTCTTGACGAATCTGAGAAACTTCGACTTGAGCACGCATCACTTTGCTTTCCTCAGCTTCCAGTGCGGCTTCGGCTTCGTCAAGGGCTTGCTAAAGGAACAGTCATGATTATGGCGCTGACAAGATGCTCAGCCGGCAAAATCACCTGTAGTTCTTCCTTCTCCAATTCCAGGCGCCTCACAACCTTCTGCAATTCGTGAACAGAACGGCCTCCCTCGCTGAGTTGATCAGTGAAGTCCTTGATTTCTTGGCTGAGATTCTTATTTTCCCTGCGCAGAGCTTCCAGCTGCTCAGTCATTTCGTCCTGAACGTTCTTCAGCTTGAAGCATTCTGTGCTGAGATTGCGGTTTTCTCTCTGACTCGCGTCTAATTCTGCAGACAGATCATCGCATTTCTTGTGCCACTCATCGATTATCTTGTCGAACCCCTTTTGTTTCTTCTCTAACTGAGCTGCGTATGTATTAGCCTAAAGCAGTTTTGTCAGTTCACTATTCGAGCATTGCAAATCATATCCTTTTCTCTTACCCGTTCAACGTCCACCTGTGCATCGTCTAGATCGCCTAGAAGTTTGTGGCGCATCTTTTCGAGCGACGCAATCTTGCCATTCGCACTTTCGAACGCTTCCTGCATTTCTTGCACTTTCTGTGTCAGTTTGCGCCTAAAATTTGCTTTCATATAGGTTGAGGTTAGCCGAATACATAATTTTCATTGATTACTTCGCTTCTTCGATTTCATCTACTTTAGCTAAGCCTTCGTTTTCATATTTAGCCTTCCACTGTTGAATTTCGGCGTTGAGTTTTGAGATCTGCCTCTGCAATTCAGCTTTGGCTTCGCCTTCTTCTTCTAGCTGTTCGTTAAGGGATTCATTTTCATGCTCCATGTTCTTTAGCTGAGCCGTTAGGTTGTGCCTTTCTCGCGTCTCTTCGTCAGCTGTATGCTTGGCTTCTTCAAGCTGAGTTTGATACTGAGACTTGAGGCGGGTAAGGCCATTGATTTGAGATTCTGCATCTTCAATTTGCCTTATGAGGTCAGCGTTTTCGCTGGACATTCTGTTCTTTAGGTTAGCAAAATCTGCCAGTTGCCGCGTTTGTTCGTCGGATTTTGCTTGCAGTTCGG